TGAATATTAATTATTCATTCGCTTAATGATAAAATACTGTTAAACTCAAAATATATTTCTTTTCAATATAATCCTCTTTTCAACGCAATTAACCTAACAATTCTACATTAATCATATGTGTCAAATTCTATACAGTGAATATTGTAATAGGCTACCTTGGACCAATGAGAGCGAACATTATGGATGTAAATCTGCAAAATCTCTACCAACAATGGACTTCGAAAAGGATCTATTGTCGATTATCCACAAAATTAATTTTAGTAAAGCTACCAACGAACTGCAGCAGAAAACACAAAAGGACGTTAAAAATTAAGAAGTCAGATAAAATAATTATCAAAGCAGACAAACCGGTAATTTATTACAAAATCGATGTAAGTATCACAAGGCCATTAAACTTACTATGTTTTATAAAAAGGCATCCGAAAGATGGGAAATTATATCAACAATGAAGCCAAAAAATAGCCATTGTATTAAAAATGATGATAGAATTTATAAATTCCATAAGCAGCAGCCATTTAAACAAAGCAAAACTAATTTCCAACACAATTTACAATACCGATTACTCAACCCAACTAAAAGTAATACCGGTAAAATTAGTAAATTGAAAGAGCTTACAGACATATGAAAGAGTCTCTAGGAATTAACCAATGGCATAATACAGCAGAAGCCTTAGAATAGTTTACTATTATACAAGGGAAGAACGAATGTACGTTCATTCAATTCGATATTTCTGAGTTTTTAACCATTCATCACCGAGAATCTGCTAATGTCTGCCGTCAAATTATCTAAAGATTACTGTACTATTAGGGAAAACGAGTTTAAAATCATTAAACAGGGGCAAAAATATATGTTATATCATAATAGTTGTCTGTGGACTAAAAGAAACAAAACACAATTTAACATTGTTATGGGTTCGTTTAATTCTGAAGAGCCATGGGAGCTGATTGGAAATTTGTTATTGTGGTGATTATGTTTTCTGTTCAAGGACACAGGACTCCACAGAGATAAGAGTGTAAGTCTTCTACGTAAAACAAGTTCAAGAAACAGACCGACCAAGAAAGTAATTGATTAAATTCTTTAACGAACCCGAGCTAAAAATTGCCACAACGACCACTGCTAAAGTGATCAATTTTATCAATTTGACATTGGGTCTCTGCTGCCTGAGGAGCCCTCTACGCCTAAATTCCTTCAACTGTACTTTATTGCAGACTACATCCTACAGGCCGAAACCCGGATTGATATGTTGTCGCCGTGAGGAAGAGTTCCTCTCGGAGACGTCATACTATTATTTCAGGCCATGCCTCACGAGGTTAACAGCTACATTCGCAGTTTCAAATATGCTTTAGAAAACGCTCCCTTTCTTTCCTTCAGCATTGTAATTGACGTCGACAAACGGCCTCATGATGACCACGAACGCCGCTACAATGCTCCTACGTGCAACAAATTGGTCGCTACTATACATGGGTAGCAAGACCGCACTCGCAATATTGTCCTCAAATCAACAGGGAGAGCTCTTCGCAGGATTTCAGAAACCCATCGATCATATGACGCATTGCCGTACCTTTTACTTTTCCCTTATGGTGACGATGGCTACCACTTCGGCATTCCCCTTCATACTCCGGTCGACCAACCTACAACATCTTCCAAAGCCTTATCGTGCGAGGCCTTTTACTCATACCGGTCATGGTTAGAGATATAGACTTCTACCTGCTGCATAGATGCAGGGAGCTTTCCCACCTGTTTGCGCTTGATATGGCCGCTAAGATGGAATCGGAGAGGTTTTGTTTTATACGGAATCATCAGAAAAGAGCCGCGCTAAGATTCCTACGTACACTTACGCGACAGCCATCGAAATGAAGTCAATCCCCGCGACCTAGCGAAGCTGTGCAATCTACCATTTACCGACACTGGGGGGGGGGGTCGCGTTACATGCATGAACGCACGCAGGACGCTATGACGTACGTTAGGCAATATGGGCGGCCAGACTTATTTATAACGTTTACCTGCAACCCCAAATGGGTTGAGATAACGCTTGAACTCTTACCCGGACAGGATTACACTCACAGACATGACATTACCGCCCGCGTATTTCGCTTAAAACTGGGAAAACTTATGTGCTTAATAGTGAAGGGGCGAGTCCTACAGTGAAAAAGCAACCACTATTTTACATTGCCAGAATTAAAAATCTTGACCGATTATGAACGGGTGGCAGTCATCGGTTAAGAACGGAACAGCAACACAGCAGCCATCTATTGCCACGCTTGCCCTTGATTTTGCTACCAGTGAGATTCCCGGTCTATCAATGACCTCAACAACTGCAGATACGTGCGTAAGTTTAATAATTTAAACTACAAAGCAATTTAACTACATAAAACCCCGAGCAACGCCGGGCTTTACTGGTAGATGACAATAGAAATCAAGACAACTGTCTGAACAATGTAAATACTTGATTGACCCTAACATATTTTATTAAAAAAATAGTTTTACGTCGTTTATTTTAATTATAAATTATAAATCCTGTTTATTTTGTATCTGTCTATATTTCTGAGATGAGGTATTATGTACATTATTTACATTATTCAGATTATTGCATTTTTTTGCTGTTATCATTGAATGTTTTTACTAGAGCTCATATTGCAACTTTTGTTGTTATCGCTTTTCTCTGGCACTTATTACTAGTTCCCATATTGTATTAATTTTTGCAATATGAACACTGGTAAAAATGGTTGCTGAAGACATTAGGTTTTCAATACCCAGAAATTCATACACTGCTGTTCTCAAGGACACATGGCACAGTGGATAACGGCATTGGTTAGATCCAGTGAGAGGACCCAATGAGTGTGAGTTCAATACTCGGTTAAGGCAGTGGAGAACATTCAGAACGGAATTAACAGGAGGTAACTGATAGCTAACATCCATTAAACATGGCCCGTGGAACTAGAACAGTCTACCCCAGTGAGGGAAATAAAGGATCAAGTTCAACATTACAACTACCTGAAGAAGGCCGGGGCCTACAACGGCCGAAACGTTGTAATAAATAGGGCGACAAAAATGAGGACAATAGTCCAAATAACGTATCTGTCTATTTTTAATACATTTTTTTTACAGTTTTCGGATCCTTTATTTCAACACAAAATTTCATTCCAAGCAAGGCAATAAAGCCACTCAGACTCAAGGGATTCCTCTGTGTTAGAGAATATGAGAAAAAAAAACTATTAAGGATAGAAAACAATACAAGAACAAGAATTAAGAAGACAGAAGATAACGATTGACATTGCTTTTAAATTTTTAAAGATTAAAGTTACCTGGAAAGAAGAAGCTAGAATAGAGTTCTACAAACGAGAATTGCGATAGAAAAAAAAAAACTGTTATTATAGAACATGCGCTTACACCTAGCTATTTCAACTGTAAACCGATCTAGCACTACCCTTAAAGTCATAAAATGTAGGTACCATAGAAGAAAGTTCATCAAAACCATGAAAGTATTTATAGAAAAGACATAGGGCAACTACTTTTCGACGATGGGAAAGTGACTGAAGCGAGATGCCAGCTCAAGATCGATAACAATGCATATTCTTCTTTGGAGTTTGTCAAGAATCTCTAAATGTATAGGAAGGCCACCAGATTATATGTGACAGCAATATTCAATGCGTGGACAAATGGTAGAGTTATGCATATGTAGGATAGATTCAGGAAAGAAAAATGTCTAGCACGACACAGTAATTAATATTCATAAGAGCAGACCTTAGCTATTGATTCATTATAATCTTTCTAATTGATGTCAACAGAAAATTTTAGCCCGAGTCACTTTTCTGGAGGTTAGCATCAGCCATACTGATGGAAGGTAGAAATGTTTCTCTCATATGGTTGATAGACAGCAGATTCGAAAACGTCAAGATTAACGAACTATTCATTACTCCAGGAGATTGTAGTTCATTTTATTTATCAACTGCCAAGACAGGAGTAAATATTTGTATCATCAGCATAGATACCGATTGAGAACTGATGCTGTCAGGTAGGTCTTTGATAAACATTAGGAACCGAGTAATGGTAACGATAAAGCCTTGAGTGAGACATGCATTACTGCATAAAGATTTTGAAGAGAGCCCGTTCAGGAGAACTTTCTTTTCGCGATTTGATAAGAAAGATTGAATGACTTCAAATATTCGTATAGAAATATCATAAGCCGGTATACTAAATCCTGTCAAAGTAACGGCGGGGGAATTAGCATTCGTATGTAAAGCTTGATATATGATAAACATATAGTTTAGTGATATGTTATAGATGCTATATTTTAAATGTCTGTCCAATATTAAGGATACAGCGTATGTTTTTATAAAATTGACACTGGGGTTAACAGCGAGTGGCAACAGTTTCAAGAAATCTTTTCCTACAACTTTATAGAAAAGAGTAAGCACAACAGATTGACAAAAACAGAAAACAAAAAGAGTGCAAAAACGTTGAGAAAGAAATTAGAGAGAAATATTGAGAGAAAGAAAAGAAAAAAGAAAAGAGAAAAAAGCATGATGCGTGGGTTTGAGAGGGAATGTCATTAGGAAGTGAAACTCTGGATAAATGAACAGAAAGGACATGAATGAACAGAGGGATAACACAGAAGAAAAGAAAAAGAGAGAAAAAACAAAAAAAAACAACCATCATTTAAAACTGGGGATTTTAAAAGGATGGCTAAATTGATTGATCAAACCATCTGTCGAAGAGAACAGAAATATGAGAGAAAGATGGCAGTCAGTGAAAATGAAACGATCGAAATGATTAGAGAAGTTGAAAATAATGGAACCTTTACATATACACGAATTTAGGCGTGTATATATATATATATATATATATATATATATATATATATATATATATATATATATATAAAAGTGTGTGTGTGTGTGTGTGTGTGTGTGTGTGTGTGTGTGTGTGTCTGTGTGTATTACGTGTTTCTTTGGGATTTTGAATATCTATTTATCTATATAAGTCAGTTAATAAGAGTATTAGAGAGAGAGAGAGAGAGATAGGGAGAGAGACCGACAGACATACAGAAAACCAGATAGGTAGATTGAGAAACTGTGATATGTATTGAGAAGTACAAAATGCAGAGAGTGAGAGAAAAAGAGAGAGATTGAGAGAGAGAGAGAGAGAGAGAGAGAGGGAGGGAGGGAAAGACTGACAGACAGACTGAAACAGTCAGATATACAGGCTAACTGAACGACGACCGAATAGATAGAACAGAATGTACGAGAGAGAGAGAGAGAGAGAGAGAGAGAGAGAGACAGAGAGACAGAGAGACAGAGACTGACAGACTGAGACGCAGACAGGAAAACAAACTGAGCGACGGCCGAGTAAATAGATATGTATTTAAAAGAATAGAATGCATGAGAGAGAGAGAGAGAGAGAGAGAGAGAGAGAGATGTTAAGATTTGGGTGAAGTGAGCTTGAAGTGAATAAAACAGAGAGAAAATAACGCAGAGGTAAATCGATATATAAATAGAATCAGAGCAATGGAAACGAGGAGTAGAAATATTTGATGAAAAAGACAGAAAGATATCTAAACAGAAAGAAAGATAGAGAGCGATAGAGTATGCATAAAGTAATTCGAAAAAAGAAATGAGTAGGGGCAGGGAAATTGATTAATGTCTCTATAAAGAGAAAGTAGATCAAGTGAGTGAGGTGTAAAACAACAACGTGAGGTAAGGGATAGAATGTGAAAGAAAGGTGTGAGGGGGCATTAGTCTTTAGTTAGCCGTTAGAAACTGGTTGCGATGAATGAACATTGTTAGCCGCAAATGGTCTCCCGCCACAGCTGTCGGCTCCGTTTGCCGGCCAGTTTGTCTTCTCTTCATCGGGTCTGCCTAGTTCACCAAAGGCACCGTGTTGGAACGAACGTAAATCTACGCAATCATCGCACATAGATAACTTTCAATTAGATGATGAATGTCTGCGGCCGTTTAAACTTCACCATGGCGGCAATGGATCCAACCAATGTGGCCGAACTTAACACACCGTTGACCTGGTCGCGAGGCCAACCCACCGGTCATTTTGTGTTGTGTCCAGCAGAGCTGTGTTTTTGACATCCCCGGTCCTATCAAGGCCATGTATCAAGTTAACAAAGAAATCTTTTGGATTCCGGCCTGGAATTATCAGTCTTGTAGAAGAATGTGAACATCAAGATATTCGGATAGTGGTCCGTTGATTTTCGTGGTTGGAATTTGAAATGAAACCCAGTCTTCTCAAATGAGTGAAGGTCTATAGATAAACCAGGAAAGAAGTGAAGACATGTAGGTTTATTGTAATTTTGATTTGAAATAAGATTTTAGATCGCTTTCATTAGCTTAATGGAATGAATTAATAAAAACCTGATAAATAATAACACGATGATATTTTTTGCACTCTAGAAAATGAAAATTTAATTTTAATTTTTCTATGTCCTGTCATTTCACGGCGTTGGTGATCATCGCTCTCATATCTTCCTCTCATTTGTAGCTTTTATCAATATTTGACTTTTTACTACCCCTAACACCCACTGTTCTGTAACCCATTTAAGTAATCTCGTTAAATAGGTTACTTCTTGTTTACCTCTGTCCAACTTGGTATCAAAGTGTCTTGTGAGTGGCAAATTCTACACGTCCATTTTTCTTATTAATTATATCAAAAATTTCGGATGTCACTTTTAAGTACGCATTTTGGTTCCGTTTTCGTTAAAACTCCTTCGTTGCTCACATGCTTCGTCTCTGGTATTCTCAGCATCCTTCTGTAGAACTATATCTCTGTTGACCCAATTCTCCTCTACATCTGTTAGGAAATTGTGCAGCATTCACTGCCCTATAGGAAAATGAATATTACGTAGCATTTCGCTGATCTTTTTATTTTTTGTTTCTAACAAAATTTTTCTCTTTTTTAATGCTATTCACCTAAGGAGAGTAGAGTCCGAATTCCAGTCGTGTTTGTTATATTCAATTACGCATAAATACCCTTGTGAAAGTTATGAATGCATCTCTTCTTCCTCCAGCTATGGGTTGAAGATCAATGTGTGGCACTTAACTGACTGAATGTTTCGGTTAGCTTTTCGAAGGCATCTTTCAACTATTCCATTGTGTCTTCGGATTTCGTCTGTAAAAAGAAAATCCCAGATATTTAAACCAGAGACGAAGCATGTTAACTTATCGGTTCTGGATGCTGTAAATTATTTTTAACAGACGACGGAACATGTGACAGACATCCGAAAACTCATTGGAATATCAAAAGTTACCAAAGAGCTAAACAAGGTATTATGAAACGGGAAAATATCGTTACGAACAAAAAAAAGAGTGCAGAACAGCTATGTAATATTAATTCTTTTATGTGGTTGTGAATGCTGGATAGTTTTCTCGCCATGAAGATGAGACGATTAGCAACAGAGACGTGGTATTGCAGAATGATAATGAGAATATCGTGGACGGAACATGTGAACAACGAAGAATTAAGCAAAATGGAAGCAAAAAGAGAACTTCCACTTAGGATCAGAAAGAGACAGTTTCAATTTTGAGGACTCATTATGAGAATAAAAAAAGTTTAGACAATTCGTCACTCAGAACACTGTATTCATTTAGTGTAAATGTAAACAAAGAGTTATCTCCCTTACGAGCTTGAGTAAATGGATGGTAGAGTAAATGGATGGATTGGGATCGATAGTAAAAAATGAGATGTATACTGGATAGGGAATTGTGGAAAGCAATAATCAATATATATATATATATATATATATATATATTGATTATTGCTTTCCATTATTTTCCTATATATATATATATATATATATATATATTATTTATGGCACGAGGGGTAATTCTCGCCATTTTATATTTTTCATTTCGCGTATGTACGTTGTATTTGATTTTGCCAACTGCACATTAGAGTAGGGCGCCGCCTTTGAGAAAACGAGCACCATGATGCAATTCCATCCATAAATTTGGAAACGGCATGATGTACAGCTTAGCATTTGCGCCGGAATCTCCAGTACCGACATTTGAGCGTGTTTAGATGTCAATGACAGCGTAGAGGATTCGAGAAGTGTTGGATGAGTCTAGTTATTACGAAGGCGTTTATAGTGATTGCTAGTGATGGCAACATTATGCTTCCATTTATCACCCCACAGTACCTCAGACTAACCAGAGGCTTATATCAAGTGCTTTGAGGTGGGTAGTGCTGCTCTGGGGAAAGGGGGTTGCTGCTGGAAGATCATATGTATGTCAACAGGAGTCTGCATCATGCGAAACAAGCAGGATAACCCCATCATGGCTGCAAACAATTTCTGCGACCACATCACCCTTCCATCTGGCCACATAACTTCCCAATCTGCAACCTCCTTGATTACTGTGTATAAGGTGCAGTTTAGCGAGAGACCAACAAAACTCCTTCCAACACCAAAGATGAACTGAAGGCAGGCATTCACAAACTGAAACAAAGAAAGTGTCGAGAACAAATGCAGAAGGTCCCGAAGTCTTTTGGAGGCCGTAGTTGAAACCAATGACGATTTCATTGAATAAATTTACTCTGTAGTATTTCAAGATATTTTCTATAACTGATAAATATATCTGTTAAAATGAGATGTTAGTGTTATTTTCATTTTCGTAATTTAGACGACAATTCATCCATCACATTCTTTATATTGTGTATGACAACTCTTTCAGTTTTTGTTTATTTTATGCAGATATTCCAAGTGGTTTGTGTGCTGAATTTATTTGTATGCGTTAATTTGATTAAATTAATTATCTTTAATTTGGTTAAATTAAAATATTCACTACTATTTTTCATTTCCAGTTACTTGTAGCAAATATGTCAAACAATATAGAGATTTCTATTAAAAACATATTTTCTCATATGAATTGGTGGATATTAACCCACAGAAGTCCAAACCAGAAAAATGTATTATTTTTCTTCTGAACATTTTTCCTTACATTTTACCGCTTTAGAACGTCCAATGGTTTATGAGTTTTTAAAAAATCATTTCATTCCAAACAAAGCGGAAATGTTAAAAGTTCGTAGGTGGTTACAATGAATGAAAGCGAAAGAAATTAGTGAGTATTGAAGGGACTGGAGAAAAGATAAAAGATGAAGGGGATTCAAGAAAGACAACTGACGTTGAATTCAATTTTTTGAAGATTGTAGTTATCAGGGAAGCAAGTAAATGGAATAGAGTAAAGGCTGAAGCGTGAGAAGAGAACTTGTTCGAGTAGACCTGGCGGTCCCATTTAACTATTTCAACAGTAAAAGGGTGGAACTCAGATGTCAATCTAGTAGCACTCTTGAATTCATGTCGTCAGAGCAATAGAAATTGTTTGAAGAAAATAAAGAGAGAATCCACGTCCCGTCGGTGAGAAAGTAACTGAAATCGAGATGCCAAGTCAGGATCGATTATATTGCAGATCCTTCTTTGGATTTTGCCAAGAACCTCAAGATGAATGCTTATATATAGTTTCTTTACGTGATTCAACCCAAGCAAGGTGGGAGTGCCACTAATATGCAAGGGGCTGCAGAGAGTGAACGTAAGGGAAAAGATAACGGACTTGAGAATAGCATAAAAAGGAGGATGAAGAACGGGAATCAAGACAACAGAAGATTTCATTTAACATTACATTTGAATTTTTGAAGATTATAATAATCAGGGAAGCAATTAAGAGGAAGGGAGTTCCACTGTCGGGCAGTGAGAAAGGAGACTCTGTCAGAGTAGAAAAGGCGGTTTCATTTAACTGTTTCGTCATTAGTGTTGAAGCGAGATGCCAACCTAGTAACACGCTTGAATACATGCAGTCGGAGTAACATTGAAAACAGCTTGTCAGAAAAAATACCATGAAAGTATTTATGTGAAAAGAGGGAAGGAAACCACATTACGTTGCTGACAAAGTGACTGGAGTCGAAACCCCAAGTCAGGACCAGTCAAAGTGCATATTCGTTTTTGGATTTTGTCGAGAACCTTGAGAGGAACAGTGGGAGTACCAGCCATATATAGCAACAATATTCCATGCATGGTAGATTTGTAGATATGAAGGATGGACTCAGACAAAAAAAAGAACATTCTGGGCCGATAGAGAGGATCAAATTTACTTGCGGTAGATGCAGCAATTGATTCAATGTAGTTGTTCCAGCTTAGGCCAGTGGAGGACGTGAGACCAAAAGGGGCAGTGAGACGCTCTCGTGGAGTTGAGCATCCTGATAAGAGGCAGGTACGTTTCTCTTTGGTAAGTAAATGAGAGCCATTTCGTTTTGGATGCATTAAATTTCACAAGCCATTCCATGCCCCAGTCATCCACAGGTTGGAGGTCAATTTCGAGACTAACGGCCAGGTTAATTTTCACAGCAATGCTAGATTTATTATTGATTATGGCGTAAATGGTAGTGTTGTTTCCGTAGATGCCGACTTAAAAACTCATGATGTCAGGAAGATCATTGATGAAAATCAGAGGCAGTATAAGACCAAAGATAGAGCTTTGAGAAACATCAGCGTTTGTATGGAAGGAACTGGAAGAGAGCCCGTTCAGGACAACCTTCATTTCACGGTTAGAGAGAAATGATTGGATTTAATCAAATAATCGTCCTATAATACCGTATTCCTGAAGCATGACAAACCCTATCAAACGCCTTCGATATATCTACAGCAACAGCTCGACCTTCGCCGTTAATATCAAGAGCCTGATATGCCTTTTCCTTTCTGGACGTAAGCACATCAGCGGTAAACCGGGTAAACGGAAAACATATTGCTTGTCATGAGAGGTCAGATGCTTAACTACATCGGCATGGATTAGAGACTCTAAGAATTTGCCGAAGAATGGTGGGAGACTGATGAGACAGTAGTTAAATGAGTCAGAAGAGTCTCCATTCTTAAAGACCGGGAGGACAGAAGAGGACTTGCAACAGGCTGGAAAACAAGAATC